GTTTGTCTTTATTTTTTATTGCCTCATAAACTTGCGTTTTTCCACACTTAAATTTCACCATAAGTTCCTTCACTGAAAGATTCTCATGTTGCTTTAACTCGATTAATTTTATTTTATCCGATAGCGTAAGAGTTGTTTTTTTCGACATTTTAAACGATAGACGGAAAACGCAACGACGCAAACGACACGAACGTAACGACATACGATTTGATACTGAACCAAGCAACTCAGATAATAATATTGTATAGTGTATACATATCAATTTTATTAGTTTTTAATGTCATCGTACCCGCTCGTATATCGATTATCTATGGGTATCGACAGTACGAAAATAAATTTATCGTGTCGTCTTAGCGAGGGTTTTCATCAACTTTCATTACAAAAACGTGTCCGTTTCAGTCTTKGCGAGGTTTCCGTCTTAGCGGGATAAAATTATATGTAATTTGCAACGGGACCAAACAAATATTCCGTAATACCGGGGTTTCCGTCTTACCGAAGTTCTGTTTTAGCGGGGTTTTACTATATTTAAATGAACGTCACCAATTTGAGGAAGTCATGCGTTATACACGCAGATAACATTATTGAAAGTTATCTGAATTTATGTGGTCATTTTTATCTATTTTTAAACTATTCGACACATATTAGAAACACTATATTTAATATATGATATACAGATTGTATGCTCAGTCATTGTATACATAAAACTATTTTTTGTCTTTTTAACTACAATACATTTTTAATATATAATTTAATAATTTTTTTCATACTCGGATAAGCCATGGTGCCTCTTAAATGAGCTCGGAGTGCCCTAAGGCCTRAGGGCAACGTCGTGCACTGGTTGAGAACCGCTGACTTAGATCATTTCTTATTTCACAAAAATGTTCTTTAAGAGAATTCATTAATTTAATTGCTTTGGCCATATCAGCATTTTTATCTTGTAAATATTTGGCCAATAAGTTAATTTAGGAAAGTAAATCATTAAAAAAAATATATATATATATAAATTTAAAATCTATGTACTTTAATAAACCAGTAGCTTCTGAAAAACTCATAATATTTTCATTTGAAATCTTATATAACAATGACAGTATAACTTCCAAAGTAGCTTTAACAGCTCGATATGTATGAATTTTAGATGGCCAAAGAGTAAGGCATAATATTTTCAATTAGTTCAATTGATGTAATTTTCAAAATTTGTTTTTGAAGCTCAACAAACCTAGAATGAATCCAGATCCAGATATAAAATTATATAAATTTTGTAAAAAATTTACTTCATCTAAATTTTTTACTATTCTTTTGTATTTGTTATATTTCAATAAATTTAATATTTTTCACTGTTTGATTTTAGAATTAATTCAACCTATACTTTCTGAAAAAAAGTCGACGTAAATCTAACGATGTGATTTTCATAATGATAGTACGAGAATTGGATTTTTGGTGAATTTTCAAAGCGGACATATCAATAATGGAAATGTTCTCAATACGGGGGTATTCTAATTATTTCAATTTACGGTATGAGTAAATCCTCACGGGACACCCTGTATAACTTTGTCACAACTTTAAATTCTAACATATACCTTGTAACGTCACAGCATTTTTCGCGGTTTTAATTATATTATTATATTACATAACACACATTACGCGCGACAATAACTAGCTGGACTACAGTGTTATGTCACCAGTACACCGCACATTCACCCCCTCTGCGAGGCTCC